TCGCGGGTGGGCCGCGGGCGATCCACCTGAAACGAATGCATATGATGCCCGCCGCAGGCGCCGGAAAATGTGGTTCGTACGCTGAACGTGGTTTGGGTCGCTAGTTGGTCGCGGGGTGGGTCGCGGGCTCTCCACCTGGAAGGAATGCAAGGAAAAAAAAAAAAAAAGAAAAAAAAAAAAAAAAAAAAAAAAAAAAACGCCGCAGACGCCGAAAAGGTGGTTTTACCTTGAACGTGGCTTGGGTCGAAGGTGGGTCGAAGGTAGGTCGCGGGGGGTCGCGGGTGGGTCGCGGGTGGGTCGGGGGTGGGTCGCGGGTGGGTCGCGGGTGGGTTGCGGGGTGGGTCGCGGGTGGGTCGCGGGTGGGTCGCGGGTGAGTCGCGGGGTGGGTCGTGGGGTGGGTCGCGGGGTGGGTCGCGGGTGGGTCGCGGGTGGGTCGCGGGTGGGTCGCGGGGTGGGTCGCGGGTTGGGTCGCGGGGTGGGTCGCGGGGTGGGTCGCGGGTGGGTCGCGGGGCGGGTTGCGGGTGGGACGACGACAACAAACAACAACAACAAACAACACACAACAAACAACAAACAACAACAACAACAACAACAACAACAACAACAACAACAACAACAACAACAACAACAACAACAACAACAACAACAACAACAACAACAACAACAACAACAACAACAACAACAACAACAACAAACAACAACAACAACAACAACAACAACAACAACAACAACAACAACAACAACAACAACAACAACAACAACACCAACAACAACAACAACAACAACAATAATCCGCACCGCGGAATCCCACTTCAGCCACGCACCCAGGGACAGTGAATGACCGCCCGGCCCCCTCAATATGATTTGTGTGTGTATTTTTTTGTGTGTCCTGGGGGCCCTTTGGGGCCCCTTCACTCTTGGCGGCCTCCTGGGGGCCTCCTGGGGGCCTGCTGGGGGCCTCCTCGGGCCCGAGAGCTCGACGTGTCAGCTCTCGGGTCGCCCGTGTCGCGGCCTCCTCTTTGGGGGGCCTCCCTGGCGGTTTTTTGGGGCCCGTCTTGGGGCTGCGTTGGGGCCCTCGTGGGGCCGGTTTGGGGCCCCCGCGGAGGCCTCTTGGGCCGTCTTCGACTGGACGTAAGAGTGACCTTTCGCCGGAGTGACCTTTGGTGCGGGCACAGATGGGTCCCCAGATGGCTAAAAGCGAGGCAGTAGCAGCTGCTTGCGCGCCCAGGTTTGGTCCCCCCGCGGCCCCCGAAAAGTCGCGCACCAAAGGTCACTCTTACCCAGGGTCACTCCTGCATGTAGCCGACTCTTGGGCCGTCCGGGGGCGAGCTCGGGAGCCTTTTCTGGTTTTGTTGCGTCGGGGAGCCGAACGGGTGCGAACGCCAAGATCTGCCAAACGCCGCAGGACGATCGGTGCTTTGTTCCTGTTGGGGCCTTCCGGGGATTGCGCTCGGAGGCTTCTTGGAGGCGTCTTGGAGGCGTCTTGGGCCATCTGAAGGGCATCGTGGCCAGCCTGGAAGAGTGCTGGGGCCGTCTCGGGGCACTCGTTGACCGTCTCTGGCGCCTCTGACGAATTCTGTGGTCTGTTCCGGGCCATTTCGGACATGCCCACCGTCTTGGAGGCCCACGCGAAACACCCCAGTACAGCCCGACCCCGCCCGAGGGCGCCCAGGGGGGCCGGGTGCCTGGGCCCTCAAGAATCTAGATCTCTGGCCGCAGCAGCACAGCTCTGAGCCTTGGGGCACTCCACGTCATGCCAAGGGCACGGTGGCGTATGATATTCAATTGTGGCGAGTTTCCCAGTAGACTTGTTTTTCCAATTCGACTTGTTCACGTGCTTTTGAACACATGCGGGTCTGTTTGCGCGTGAGTGCGTGCGCGTGTGTCTGCCTGTGTGTGAATTAATGCGCATGTTTGTATGTGTGTGCATGCGTGCGTGCAGGCGTGTGCATGTGTGTGTCTGTGTGTGTGTTTGTGTGTGTGTGTGTGTCGCTGTGTCTGTGTGTGCGTGTGCGTGTGCGTGTGTGCATGTGTGTGTGCGCGTGTGTGTGCCTGTGTGTGTGCGTGGTGTGTGTGTGTGTGTGGGTGTGCGTGTGTGCGTGTGTGCGTGTGTGCGTGTGTGTGTGTGCGTGTGTGCGCGTGTGTGTGTGTGTGTGTGTGTGTGCGTGTGTGTGTGTGTGTGTGTGTGCGTGTGTGTGTGTGTGTGCGTGTGTGCGTGCATGTGTGCGTGCAGGTGTGCGTACATGTGTGTGCATGTGTGTGCAGGTGGGTCAAGAAAAGGAAGAAAGGACAAGGGGCGAGGGGGGGAGGGCGCATCGGCCCAAGGGAAGAGGCGCCCGATGCATATTGCGAAGGCCTTACGGCCGGCGCCGCCGACCCTGAAGGGGGACGACGACAACGGCGGCGACGGCGACGACAACGTCGACAACGTCGCTGACGTGGGTCAGAGTCCTCATCGATGCTTCTTGGGGTCTCTTCGAAGCGCTCTCGGGGGCCTCTTGGGGGCCTCTTGGGAGCCTCTTGGGGGCCTCTCGGGGCTTCCTTGGGGCCTCTTGGGGGCCTCTTGGGGCCTCTTTGGGGCCTCTTGGGGGCGTCTTTTGGGGGCCTCTTGGTTCCTCCTGGGAGCCTCTCGGGGCCGAGGGCTCTAAATGTCAGTTCAGGTTCCTCGTCTGGGCACCCTCTTGGAGCCGTCTTAGGGTCTTCTTGGGCCGTCTTGGAGGCGTCTTGTGCCGTCCTCGGGCCGTCTTGGGCCGTTTTGGGTCCCTCCTGGAGCCTTGGTGGACCGTCTTGGAGCGACCTGGGGGGCCTCTTGGGCCGTCTTGGAGCGTCGGGAAGCGGAAGAGGCGAGAACGCCGAAATGCATCAACAACCAATGGGAAATCAATGTTTTTTCCTTTGGGGGCGCTCTTGGGAGTGCTCCTGGAGGCCTCTTGGATCGTCGTGCAGGGCTCGTGGGCCGTCAACTGGCCGTCAAGGCGTCTTGGACAGATCGTTCGGCGATTCGGGGCCCTCTTGGGCCGTCTTGGGGCCGTCTTGGGGCACTCTGGCCCGTTTTGGGGCCCTCTTGGCCCGTTTTGGGGCTTTTCTAGGAGTCTTATCTGACCCGGGCCCCCCCCCCTCCCGGCGGGGAAGGAATCAAAGGGAAGAGGCTTCCCTTCGAGTCAAATACGACGTTGTTCAATTTCGCTTTTGATGGCGCGAATGACGGAGACGACGACTCGAACGAACAAGACCTTCACGCACGCCGAAAAGGTTGGCGGATTTGGAGGCAGGAGGAGTGGCGTTCAATCAAGTGAACCCGATGCGCCGTGACTTACAACGCACGCAAACGCGCGCTGGAAAGGCGCGCGCCAGCGGCGGCGCCGAGGGGCCGAACCGCATCGGCGGGCGCCGAAGACAGCGCCTGTGGTGGGGGGTGACTGCGCCGCGGGCTGCGACAAGCAGGGCGGGCAGGGGCTGGGCTGCCCTGGCATCAAGAAGAAGTGGTCTGAAGTGGGCCGGCGCTGGGCATCCGGTAGAGGTTGAACTCCTGGTGCAGGTTTTGAGCCGCAGGTGCCGATCTGGAGACACGTGGGAGCGTCTGAGTGCGTTTCGGGAGCACCTGCGGACGCTCGCCAGCGCCGGGGAGCGCGCCAGGGAGCCCTGGCAGCTCCCCGAAGCGTTCGGGTGTCGCCCGGGAGCGCGCTGCATCCCCCCGTCGGGATCAAACGCAAGTGTTTTCAGCCACGTGGCGGCGCCCCCAGGCCCCAAAATTTCCAATGTTCACGCCGAAACTGGCGACTGCAATTCGTGTTGCCCCCCGCGGGCCGCTCCGCGCGCGCCCTTCAACATGTAAATTCGGGGGCGAGGGGGTTGTAGAAAAACTTGCGTTTGATGTCGAGGAGGGTTGTAGTCTCCTGCGCTGTTCGCCGCAACCTGGCCTTGAAACAGGCGAGCACGGCTTTTGCGCAAACGCGGTCGACACACGGGCGATTGCAATCTGAGCAGACGCGTCCCGTCGCTCGGGAAGTTGCCCATGGCGGCGACGTGCAAAGGGAAGATCTGTACGCGCGTATGTGCATTGCATGGGCGCAGCAAAATGTTGCTTTTCTCGCCACACATGCATGCGCTCGTGACGTTCACAGTGCTGGAGGAGAGCTAATGTCCTCGGCCCGTGGCTCTCCGTGTCTCGTCTCTCCTCGACGTTTCTTACATTGGTTTAGTCATACTTCGACTCAACATTTTTGGACTTCTTCCCCAAACAAAGGGTGTTGCGAGCCGTCGCTGACCATGTGCCGAACAGCAGTACCCGACAGCGAGCGGCGAGCTCTACGCGTAGCGCTGGGGAGTAGGAGGAGGACGAGGAGGTGGAGGAAGACGGCCGATGAGTGGGAGGGACGAGACTGCGGAGGGCGGGGGGGGGGACGAAGGAGCAGGAGGATGAGCGGAATCTGGGGGGAGGCGGAGCGGGGGCAGGAGGATCAGGAGGGAGAGCACGAGGAGGATGGCGAGGGTGAGGGTTTGGCGGCGGGTGAGGAGGGTGACGATGGGTAGAGCAGGGGAGAGCAGGGGGAGCAGGGGGGGAGCAGCAGAAGGAGAAGGTGGCCCTTCCCTCCGCTCCCTCTGTCGTGTCCCCCTCGTCCCTTCTCCCCCCCCCCAGAGAAAGAGGGATAGGACCATGCTGTAATGGTGATGGTGGCCGTGATGATGATGATGATGATGATGATGATGATGATGATGATGATGATGCTGATGCTGATGCTGATGCTGATGCTGATGCTGATGCTGATGATGATGATGATGATGATGATGATGATGATGATGATGATGATGATGATGATGATGATGATGATGATGATGATGATGATGATGATGATGATGCTGATGATGATGATGATGATGGCGAGGAGGGGGAGGAACATAAAAGGGGGCGCACTTGTTATGATTATGGTGGCGATGCTGGGGACGATGAGCAGGATGACCACGGGAGAGGCGGAGCAGCGAGCGCCGCCCCGCCGGAGGCAGGAGGCCTACCTCAGCAGCGCAGAGATCCAGGAGGGCCCGCGGCCGGGTGCGGGCCCGCACCGAGGAGGAAGAGATGGGGGCGGGGGCGGGGGAGGGGGGAGGGAGGAGGATGGAGGAAGAGAGGCGAGGGGAGGGGGAGCAGGGACGAGCAGGATGGGAGGAAGAGGAGGAGGAGGAGGAACAGGAGGAGGAGGAAGAGGAGGAGGTGGAAGAGGAAGCGGAGGAGGAGGAGGAGGAGGAGGGCGTCGTTCCTTCGTCCCTCCCTCGATGTTAGGTGCTTCGCATGCAGGGGAGCAGGACTTCTTCCCACCCCTCCTCTTGGCTTTGGGTCGGCTCGATGGCTTTGGTCACCAGGCGAACCCGCCACAAGCACCATAGCCAGGAACAGGGGGAGGGAGACGATTAGGAGACAGTTCGTACACCAGGCTGCACATCTGACAGATATATGAACAAGCGAAGAAGGCATAAGGTCGTTGGTGTGTTGGTTTGGGGTCCCATCACGCCACACAGGCTTTTCTGCTCCTCCTGCTCCTCCTCCTCCTCCTGCTCCTCCTCCTCCTCCTCCTCCTCCTCTCGGACCTCCTCGTCGCCTCGTCGCCCTCTCCCGCCCCCGCGGCCCACGTGCAGGGGAGCGAGACCCCCCCACTTCCGAACGCTGGCCAGGGCCTCGCTGCCCGAGGGGACGGGGTGCCGCCCGCCCCAAGCATGGCACCTCGTCGGCGAGCCTGCTGCCGCCTGGGTGCCGCGCTGGCAGGTCGGGCGGCGTGTCGCCCGTCCCCCCCGCCCAACTGGCTTATCACTTCGGTTCCGCGAGGGAACGTTCCGTCCCAGCCGGGTGGTTGCATCCAGGTGTCCCCGTCGCGGCACCTCGGTTGGCGAAGCTTGCGTCGCGCAGGCGTTCTGCGTCGAGCAGGCAGGCCGACCGTGGAGTCGCGGCTGACGCGCCGCACCCTCCAGCGGAGGTCTCAGTCGCAGGCCTAAAGGTTGACACCAACACCGATGTCGGCGGTGTGCCTCCACCGAGGGAAGAGAGGATCCCGATCTCGGTGATGGTGGTAATCTTATGGCTTCCAAGGCGACCGAAATAGTACCACCGACACCGAAATCCAGGATCCTCTTCCCCATGTGGAGGCAAACCCCCTGTGTTGGTGTTGGTGATCATGTCCAGGCCTCCAACTCAGGGCCTGAGCGCCCGCGCGTCCAACCGAACATCTGGTCATAGAGTGGGGGCGCGCATCAAGAAACCATCTGCGCTTCGTCCGGGTATCCTGGGTTTCTTGGCTCCTCGCGCTGCGCGGTGACTTCCCGTACCCGTTGAAAGGCCTGCTGCGTTCAGGGTGCTTTGGGTTTCCCTTCGGGTGTACCTCGCGCGCGGGTTTTCAGGGTTGGGTTTCTTGCGAGGGTTTCTTGCGGCCGCGCCCGCGCTGTACACCATCGCAGCCTTATTAGAAGCGTTCAACCTTCCCCTGAAGATCAAAACGGGAGGGGCTGGACTGGCCTACCTTGAAACCCTACCCAGTGGTACTGCCCCTCAGGCAATGCAATTCCCCTGGCGCAACCAATGCAGGACCGAGCACTTCGCAGGTCCGCTTTGGCAGTGGAGACAGACCCAGGACCCTCCTAGCTTTCTTAAGGTACCTCGAAGATTTCTCGAGAAGCTTCCTCTCACGCCTCCTCTCACGCCATGGCTTACTGGCAGCACCTTACGCGGGAGGCTATGCTTCTCACGTTCTTCTCGGGCAGCCGACGAATTGATTAGAGCCAGCCTGTTTTGGACGAGCCCAGTCTTGAATCCGGCCTCCGCTAGGGACCTCAACTCCACATCTATAGGGCTTTGCATTAGCGCAGTTCCTGTGTGAGCTCAAAGCTCCAGGGCCCACCAAAGCGCAGCTGACTTCGCGTACGATGCCACTTGCAACCCGTCGATGCCACCGCAAACTCCCGGACGAGGGACGGCGAGATCATTTTCGTTTATTGAATCGCTTCGCTCATTCCGCCGGCCCATTTCGCATGACTGAGCCTCTTGGGGCCGCTGGGGGGCCTCTTCAGCGTCGCTCGGGGGCCTCCTGAGGGCCTCTTGGGGGCTTTTGGGGCCTCTCAGGGGCCTCCTGGGGGCTTCTTAAGGCCGAGGGCTCGAAGTTTTGTTTTGTGTTCCCCCTTTGGGGCATCGCTTGCGGCCCTCTTGGGCCCCTCTTGGGCCGTCTTGGATGCCTCTGGGGCCGTCTTGGGGCCTTCTTGGGCCATCTTGGGGCCTTCTTGGGAGCTTCTTGGGCCCTCTTGGGGCGATTTTGGGGGCCTCTTGGGCCGTCTTTGGGCCGTCGGGAAGCCGAAAAGATGGACACGCCAAAATCTGCCCAAAACCTAAGGAAAAGTAATGAATTTTGCCTCTTGGGGCCCTCTGGGGAGTGCTCTTGGAGGCCTCTTGGCGCGTCTGGGGGCCATCTTGGGCGTCTTGGAACGATCGTGTGGCATCTCGGAGCACTCTTGAACCATCTTGGAGGGCTTTTGGCGGCCTCGTGGCCCTTCTTGGGGCTCTCTGGAGGGCCACGGGGGCGGCGCCCAGGAGGAAAACCATCTCTGATCCGACCCTGCCGGGGATCGCCCGGGGTATTTTTCGCCCGGGGACTCCCAGGGGCCGCCCCGCGCGCGCGAAGTAGAAGTATTATTTAGCAGTTACCGGAGATCTTAGCACGCCTTTGGCCCGTTGGGCCGGCGAATTTGTTGCGCCGACTTGGCAAATTACACTCCCCAACCCGCTCGCGCAGTTCGCGCGTCCGTGCTCGAGACCGAGCTGCCCAGGAAGATTAACTTGCAGGGGAGGCGCTGGCTACCGGGCACGGTGGAGAGGAGCAGGGGGTGGGGTAGGCGGTGGAGGGGGAGGAGAAGGATATGGAGACGAGGAGGAAACGAGGAGGAAACGAGGAGGGGGAGGAGGAGGAGGAGGAGGAGGAGGAGGAGGAGGAGGAGGAGGAGGAGGAGGAGGAGCAGGAGCAGGAGCAGGAGCAGGCAGGCAGGAGCTGGAGGAGGAGGAAGAGGAGGAGGGTGAGAAGGAGGACGGGGGAGAGGGAGTGGGGAGGAGGGGAGGAGGAGGAGGAGGAGGAGGAGAGGAGGAGGAGTAGGAGGAGGAGGAAGGAGGTGACTCTCTCTTAACGCCGAAGGACGCCGAAGGATAGGAGGAGGAGGAGGAGGAGGAGGAGGAGGAGGAGGAGGAGGAGGAGGAGGCGGAGGCGGAGGAGGCGGATTGGACACGGGCCGGGACGGGCGCACCCCTCCCGCGCACCGGACCGCGCCTCCGTGCCGCCAAAGAGCGGGCCGGGACGGGAGGGGCGGAGCCCAGGGAGGGCCTGGGCGGGGCGAGGCCCCCGCCGCGGAGAGGAGCAGAGGCCGATGGCCCCGCACCGGGCCGAGTCGGCAGGCGATGCGGCGGGGCGCGGCCAGCGAGAGTGGCCGAGGATGCTGATGGTGATGCTGCTGCTGCTGGTGCTGGTGCTCCTGTTGCTGCTGGTGCTGGTGCTGGTGCTGGTAATGGTGATGGTGATAGTGATGGCGATGGTGATGGTGATGGTGATGGTGATGGTGAAGGTGATGGTGATGGTGATGGTGGTGATGGTGATGGTGATGATGATGATGGTGATGGTGATGATGATGATGATGATGATGAGGAGGGTGGTGCTGGTGATGATGGTGATGGTGCTGGTGATGATGATGGTGATGATGATGATGATGTTAATGTTGATTTTGATGGTGCTGCTAGTGATGATGATGTTGATGATGATTATGATGGTGATGATGATGGTGACGGTGATGATGGTAATGATGCTGATGATGTTGATGATGCTGGTGATGATGATGTTCACGATGCTGACGATGACGATGCTGATGATGATGCTGATGCTAATTCTGATGGTGCTGCTGATGATGATGCTGATGCTAATTCTTTACGCTTCGCGTATCCCCACCAGCCCATCTCGAAACAGCAACTCTTGCGAAGCATGCCGACAGTCGTGTTTTTCAGGCGTGTTGCCGCCTGCCCCCGCATATCTCCCCTGTTCCTCCTTCCTCCCGCCTCCTTGTACATCCTCCTTGTGGTGGGAGCGGGAGAAGGACGAGGCGGAGGAGGAGGGAGAGAAAGCGCTCCTCGTGGTTTGAGTCGTTTGGGGTTTCTTGTCCTGGTGTGAGTCGTTCGGGCCCTTCTTCCTGGTGTGAATCGTTCGGGCTCTTCGTGATGTGAGTCGTTCGGGCTCTTCGTCCTGGTGTGAGTCGTTCGGGCTTCTCGTGGTGTGAGTTGTTCGGGCCCCTCGTCGTCGTGTGAGTCGTTCGGGCCCCTCCTCCTGGTGTGACTCGTTCGGGCTCCTCGTGGTGTGAGTCGTTCGGGGCCCTCGTCGTGGTGTGAGTCGTTTTGGGAGCCTCTTGGAGGCCTTTTGGGGCGTCTTCGGGGCCTCTTGGCGGCCCCAGGGGCTTCTAGGAGCGTCTTGGGTGCCTTGGGGGAGCCTCTTCGGGCCTCTTGGGAGCCTCTTGGAGGCCGTTTGGGGCGTCTTGGGGGCCTCTTGGCGGCTCCAGGGGCTTCCAGGAGCGTCTTGGGTGCCTCGGGGGAGCCTCTTGGGGCCTCTTGGGGGCCTCTTGGGGGCATCTTGGGGGCCTCTTGGAGGCCTCTTGGGGCTCTTGGGACTCTCTGGGAGGGGTCTGGGAGGAATCTTGGGGCCATCTGTCGGGCGATCGATCACAGATGGGGGGAGCACTTTTCTCCCTCCCCCCGTCGGGGCCAGAATCCTCGTGAGGGGTGTCGAATTTTAGCCCTCCCAGGAGTCGAAAAAGACCCCCCCGGCGACCCGCGGAGGGACCTCTCCAGTCCCAGGGGGAGGGGGTAGGGGGAGGGGTAAACCCCTCCCCGGAGGGGAAGAAGGGGGGTTGAGAACAGAGCGGGCTCTCTAAACCACTCACGCCCAAAGGGCTGGTGGGATTCTGATGGTGCTGCTGGTGATGATGATGATGATGATGATGATGATGATGATGATGATGATGATGATGATGATGATGATGATGATGATGATGATGATGATTATGATGATGATGATGATGTTGGTGATGATGATGATGATGATGATGATGATGATGATGATGATGATGATGATGATGATGATGATGATGATGATGATGATGATGGCCAAGGATGGACCGAGGAGGCAAGGCTGCAAGAGTACCCAATTGGGAAGGCTGCCCATCCTTACCATGCGGGTTGTCTGTATGCGCTTGGACGGCGCAGCGTGTCGCCAGGGCCGCCGACGCGACCGCAGAGGGGCCTCTGTCCAACCCACGCTGGGGAAGGGGGGCTTCTGCCCAGCCCCCGCGGGGGAAGAACTCGGGCGCCGCAGGAGGCCGAGTCCCGCTGCGCCCTCGCCGAGGAGCTCGGCCGTGCGGTCGAGCAGGGCGTCGTGTCCTACGCGGAGCTCGCCGCGCGGTCGGGCCGCCCCCCCCCCGTCGGGTGAGATCCCCTCGCCAGACGTTCTGGACTTGGAGCCGGCTGGGGTTCTGAGGTGGCCCAACAGCGGTTCTGGCGAGCAGGAAGGGGGGCGGGGTTCGAGGTTGTGCGTTCGGGAAGGTGTCCGGCGTTTTTCGTCCCCTGGGAGCTATTCTCATGCCCGGGAACAGTCAGAAACGGATCCGCGGGGAAAAACAGCACCAGGCGGACCCCGGGAGAAGTCCAGGGACCGATTCTGACCGGTCTTGGCCTCACCCTCCCTTTAGGGCCCAGACCTCCCGCCGCCTCCGATTCTAGGCCCTCCGATGGGGTGAGTAGAGGGGGTCGGAAGATCGCGTCGCATCGCCGATGCATCGGCGATGCGGTTCGATGTGGAGCCCGATGTTTGCCATGCCGGCAGCGGCGGTGTATCGCCGACGTCGCCGATGTATTGCCGATGCATCGTCGAAACATCGGCGAGGCGGCTCGTTCCGCCGAACTCATCCATCCAGCAGCGCTTTTGTGAATATCAGGACGGAGTTTCTCACAGTCGGTTCTGCCTCTGGGGGGCGCCACCGGGACCTTGAACCGTCGCCGTCAGCAAAAGGGCTCGGGAAGGACGGTTGGTCTCCATGGAAGGGTGCGGACTTCTGGGTGGCGGCGTGTTGGAGCAGAAACAGGTTCCGGTTCCCTGAGTCCCAAAGTCAGGGGGGATCCAGAGTATTAGTGACACGCGTGGCGTCTCTCAAAGTGCGCGTGTTGCTCGCCTGCCTTTTACAGAACAACCTGGTACTTCTTCAGCAGGTGCGTTCTGATGGGGTCGTCCGACCAGCGCGACATTGATCTTATTTTCGCTCGCCGACCAGTCCACGATTTCCCCGTTCAGCCCCACCAGTAGCAAAAAGCACGTGACTGCCCCCATTACTGTGGGATGACGATATAGAAATTAAAGCAAAAAACACGTGACTGCCCCCATTACTGTGGGATGACGATTCGAAATGATTCGGGGGGCCTCGCTCGCAGCCACGTCCGCGAGTTGATCGGGCCAGGCGGCGCCGTTTGGCGCGTCACGGTGCGAAGCGCGGCCGCCGCGCGGCGCCCGCGGGCGCGGCCCCGCGCCGGCGCCCCGCCGCAGCGCGCGCCGCTGGCGCCGGAACTGCCCGCTGCAGCGCTGCCCCCGCCCGCCGCGGCGCCGCCTGCCGGGGCTGCGGCCGCTGCCCGCCCGGGGCGCGGCGCGCGGCGCACGCCGCTGCGGCCCCGAGCGGCCTCGGCTGCGCGCGCAGCCGCTGCCGACGCGGCCATGCTGGCCTATTGCGGGGCGCGGGCGGCCGCGGCGCGGCCGTCCTCGGCGCCGCCCGCGGCCGGGCGTCTGGCTGCCCTCCAGGCGCGCGTCCTCGCCCAAGCCAGCCAGGGCGGCGCGGCGTAGCCCGCCAGGCTGCGGCGAGCGACTGCGGCGCTGGGGCTCCAGGATCGTGCAAAAGCCCTGCCATGCTGGCGCGGGCTGCGCCGACCGCCCTCCTCCTCCTCCTCCTCCTCCTCCTCCTCCTCCTCCTCCTCCTCCTCCTCTTCCTCCTCCCCCCCCTTCCCCTCCTCCTCCTCCTCCTCCTCCTCCTCCTCCTCCTCCTCCTCCTCCTCCTCCTCCTTCCCTTTTGATTTGATGCACGTGCTGCCGCGGGCACGCGTGGGCTGCGCTGTCACCTCGGTTGTCCGGCCGCCCGGAAAGATATCACTGGGCGCTGACTCATCAATTCGGATTCCAGGTCTGCTCATCGGCGTCGCCGGCATTCAATTATTTTGGTCGTCCGCCCTATATCTGCCCCAGCAGTCGAAAACTATGTTTTTAGTTATCCCCTCGTGTCGTTCCGAACCGCCATCTCTCATTTCACCGCCTGCGTCGTGTTGAATGGTTTCGGTGGACAAGCACACGTCTCACCTTCTGAGGGTTCATCGCCTCCTCGCCGCCGCGCCTCTCCGACCAGGGCTCTCTCCTCCCGCGACCCAGGGAGGGAGGGAGAGGCAGGAAAGAGAGGAAGAGCACGAGCATCAGATGAGCAAGACATCACGATAATGATACGCTCCTCGTCATCTTCCAAGCGGACTCCAGAGACGAACGTGCTCTGCACCGTTCGCATCATGCGACCATTCTCGTCCTAGAGGACGAGGGGAAGAATCCCTTGCGCTAGCCTCAGGGGAATGCCCACGAGGTGGGGATTTGAGGTGGCGGAGGAGCGAATCGCCCCTCGTATTCGACCCTTCTTCTGGGAGAGCGGCGCCCGCTTCAACTGTGCTCTCACTGTTCGCGGATGGCCGCTCGGGTTCGAACCCTTGGGTGGGAGCCCATGGGATGTGTTCACAGGGTTTGTCCGTGTTCGTTTGGGTTTCAATCTCCAGATGGGAGCCCTCACCGGGGCCGTCGGAGCTAAATGGAGGTCCACGTAGAGCGGGAGGTCCACTTCACTAATGTCTTCATTTGGTTTGTCGAAGTATGCTTGTTCGGACCGCAGCCCTATGTGGGAGCCCTGAGGGGGCCCTCAGGAAGACCGGAAACCCACGGAGAGCGGGAGGCCCACTCTACATGTTTTTACGGCGCGTGCCAATTTCTTCAGACTTGTTAGGTGGGAGATCTCAGGAGTTGTCAAGCGGGATGACAAGGTGTGCGACGAGTCACGGGCTGAAGTTGATGACGATGAAGGCTGGGGCGATGACGGTTGAGGGCGGCAGGGATGGACGATAATGACCATTAAAGTGAAATGTGGAGTGGAGGTTAGAGTTGTGATGATGATGTTGAAGTTGATGATGATGAAGATGAATATGCATATAAGGATGGAGATGACGATGATACTGTTGTTGGTGTTGATGCTGATGATGCTGTTGATGATGATGCTGATAATGCTGATGAGGTTGGTGATGCTGAGTATGTTGATGACGATGCTGATGATGATGATGATGATGATGATGATGAAGATGATGATGATGATGATAATGATTATCATGATAATTGTGATAATGATGACGACGATGATGACGATGATGGTGATGATGATGATGATGATGATGTCGAGAAGGAGGGTGATGATGGACGAGGGTGCTGCGGATGATGATGATGAGGATGACGGTGGTGAATCAGATGGTGTTGATGATGATGATGATGATGATGATGATGATGATGATGATGATGATGATGATGGTGTTGGTGGTGATGGTGGTGGTGATGAGTCTGATGATAATTTAGATGATAATGGTCACTGTGATATGGTGATGACTGGTGACGATGATGAAGAACATGATGATGATGCTGTTGGTGATGATGATGATCCGCATGATGATCATGATGGTGATGTTGATGGGTATGATGCTACTGATGATGATGATGATGATGATGATGATGATGATGATGATGATGATGATGATGATGATGATGATGATGATGATGACGGTGATGGTGATGGTGATGGTGGTGGTGGTGATGCTGTTGGTGATACTGCTGCTGATGAGCGACGGTGACGAAGAGCGACGATGAGTAGAGAGAGACAAGAGGATGATATTGATACTGAGAGCGACCATGCTCAGATGCGATCGAGGATGAGTGATGGTGATGACGGGTGTGGCGAGTGAGGGTGAGATTCAGGGTGAGGCGGGACGATTAGAGGGATAACCATGAGAGCAGTGGTGCAAACGAGAGCCAGAGTGATGATGTGTGAGGTCGGTGGGAATGCGAGCGATGATGAGGGCGACGAGGACGAGGGGGTGCAGGTCGGTGTGTTCCCCTGCCCGAAGGGCCTAGAGGAATGCAGAACCTGTTTTCTGGAGCGTGGGGGATGAAGGCAACCCGTAGTGTTAAGTCGGATACTTCCCTCTACAGGAGGAATGTTCAAAAATAGTCAGAAGATAGTCTGGGGACGATTTTGGGATTATTTTCGAGCATGTTTGAGTTTGTTTGGGGTGTTGCTTTTTTTCGTTCAAAATCCTCCTGTAGGGGGACACGCCCGACCTAACCGTAGTGCTGGACCGCAGAACCTCCAGACGAGCTATAGCCAGGCTCAGGGAGCCTCGCTCAGCCCCCTGAGTGTTATACGGTGCTGGTATAGAAAAGGGTGTGTTCAATCTGTGTTTTCTCCAGTGTGCTGAACGCATGCGCTCACGACCAGCCTATTCCAACCAAGTCGATTGGTCCACACATGTCAGACGGCACTTACCGAACAGGTGGACACACAGATGGAACCTTTGATGCGAACACCGATGTGCAAGTGTCGTGGTTGGCGCGGGCATGGGGCATCGCCACCGGAGGTTTGACGAGTTAGCTGCCATGATCGAGGAGGCGTTTGATGCCGCGTCCTTGGAGCCGAAGGTGGCCAGCAAGCATGCTTGCGGGATCTGCTTCTTTGTTGACGAAGCTTTTGGGGATGAATGTGGCGGCGAAAGAAAAGGACGCAGAAGAGGAGAAACTACACTTTACTTAGACGACCTGCATACAGCCGATGATACGGTCTTCGATGGGGCATTCTGGCTTGGCACGCCTTGCCATATAGTTATGTTTCACAGTTCGTATCGCATCAGATCGCACTGCAGTATACCAATACTGAGCCAGCGCTTGAGCTTCAGTTTCGACTTCAGCGCCAGATGCAACATATAGTTTAGATTTGCAATGGTATTGTCAGTAGCTTCAAATTCGGCGTTGGCTACAGATCCGACTATGACACTTGCTTTGTTCGAACGAAAGTTTGTTTACAAATTTCTGATATGTGTCAGGCAAGCAGTTATGTTTGCAGTAGCAGTTGTATCAACATCAACTCACCGCATTGAAATTATATTGCGTCGACCTTACGCCCAGTCCCGCCGACCCTGAACAGGGACGACGATGACGATGAGAAGGCGAAGACGCGCAACATATATGCAAATTGAACGAGTCTATGAGTTTCGCCTCTTGGGGCCCTCTTGGGGGTCGTCTTTGAGTCCTCTCGTGGCGTCTTAGAGCTTGCTGAGGCCGTCTTGAGGGTATCTTGGGTTGGATTGGAGCGGTCTTGCGTTGGTTTGTTTCAGGGCCCCCTTGGAGCGAGTCGCGGTACAAGTGAGCTCGAGGCGTCTGAGAGGCAAGAACTCGAAGGGGGAAAGTTTCTCGTTGGGAGGGGTGCTCCTTCCTGGGGTGGCGGGTCACCACAACCACCTGGACCTTCCTGAGGATCCCCGGCCCCTGGCGGGGGGTAATCAAAGGGAAGGGGCGTTCTTTCGACTCGATTTCGACGTTGCTCAATTTTCGTTTGGCTCGAACGCTTGAGGAGGAGAGCCCAGGGAACGACGCCGACGACGACGACGACAACGACGGCTCAAACGGAAAAGCGTCAAGGGGGGGCGGCGACGACGACCACGACGACGACGACGATTCAAACGGAAAAGCTTCTCACACACGCCGACAGGGTCGGCGGATTCCGATGTGGTTTCATCTTCATTGTTATAAGTGTTCCCGCGTGTTCAGGGTTGCGTTCGGTCTACAAATGGTCTTAGCCGCGTCAGCTCGACTTGTTGATATTTGGTCGTTGGTTTGGCTTTGCGTTTGACGTTGGCTGCAGTTTCAGCATCAGTGCCCGTCCAAGCTGTGTAGTTCATACAGATGGACTCTCACAAGGGGTCCTTGCTGATGCCTGGCTGACAGCGTTTCGTTTTCGCGTTGCCTCCGACTTCAGCTCCATCGGCACTGCGTCGGGGAACTGCTGAGCATTGTAGCGGTAATTCCGACACATATATTGTTGCCGACACCCCAGCGCTTTGCGGGTTATCACAACGAGACGCCGCGGCTGACACCCCCGAGTCAGCTCGTGACTCCACAGAACCCCTTTTCCCAGGCATGTTTCTGTGACCTCAGGAGGGAGAGCAAAAGCAAGAGCAGTGTGAGCGTCGACAGATGAAATGTAATTTGGTTGTTCGTTGGCGCGTTGGCAGCATTTGCGTGGCTTCTCGCCGCTAGGACATACATACCCAAGTTCCAATCGCATGATTAATTTTGGAACGTTGCGGAACCACTATCACGACGCGGCCATATTTTCTGTTCCTTCGCAGCATTACAGCCGAACAATACCGAACACCATGCGTCCTTGGAAGTCGATTAAGCATTAATCTGAAGAAGGTGGCATACGGGATTTGCAGTCGTCCTTCCGTGCTTGGATCTGGGCGGCAAGCGGAGTTCACGCACCAGTTCCGACTGTTAGCCAGTCTCGAGCTCATCCCCGCACTTGAGACTCACAGGCGTTAGCCGGTGACAAGCTCAGGGATGTGCCTTCAGGAGCCGAGGAATTCAGTTAGCTTGAAACTGAGACGAGGTGATGTCAGTTGTATGGATGGTGGCGTACTGCAGATTGGTCAGTTGTTCCTGCTCGCGTGGACATTAGGGGGGCTTCAACGACTTTGGTCGTTGTCTCTTGCCTTTCCGTAATACGCAGCTCCTGTCTTCAGGACGTTCAACAGCCAGCCTCTGGTGCCGAAGGAAGAGGCCGCGAGCTCTTGATTTGATATCACCTCTCCGCTCCTTGGCTCGCCCCTTCTCACTTCCCCCCTGGGCTCGCCGCCGTAAAGTATGATCGCTGTTTAATTACCTTGGGGGTGTTGAGTGTTTGCTGGAAGTCTCCGTTGCTCAGCATCACGATGGCTCTTTGCTTCACATGCCAGTGGCCCTTCGATCCGCATCACGGTTGCTCGTCGATCCATCTTTGCGCCGGCCCATGTTGCTTCCGTTGCTATCTCTTTTGACGTTCATCGATGTCGCCAACCGCGAACCACCGCCGCACCCGGCCTTTGTGAAGATGCCGGCCGAGATATGAGGCTATGTGTTTGCCTTGCCGTCGTAAACTGTGTCAGGGTGCCCCTTGGGAGGCCGGGAAAGGGCACAAACACGCCACCCGAGGTATGCGGACATCCGAGTCTGCGCATTAGCTGTATGGCGCTTGTGGCTAGCCATGTTTCCCTGCCGTTGTCGAAATCCTTGGGGGCACACATGGGTGAGGAAGACCGCCTTAAGGCTCTCCTGGGCCCGTCGGACTCCTTCCAAGACCGTTTTGGGGGCTCTCCTTTGGGCGATGTAGGGTCGCCTTGGAGGTCTCTTGGTCCGGACAGTCAATCCGCATAGGAAGGATGGGCAACCTTCCCAAGGGTACCCTTGCAACCTTGCGTCCTGGGCCCATCCTTCGCCGCTTCCGCTGGCCGCGCCCCGCTCGAGAAGCTTCGACATGGGCGTCCAAGGCCCTTGCATCCTTATCGCGCATCCTCATGATACGGGCCGACTGCATTGGGGCTACAGTCAACGCGCCTAGTAAGGACGCGCGCCTTCATCTAGGATGCCCTTGCGTCCTTGCCTCTGCGGCCCGTCCTTTGCCGTTTTCACTGGTCGCCCGCTGCCCTAAGAGCTTGTTTTTTTTATTGCTCGGCCCCGTAACGCCCGTTACGGGGGGGGGGTCCCCCCCCCCTCCCCCCCCCGTAACGGTAACGAGCGTACGGGGACGGGGGTGCGGACCCCCGCTCAGTCCAGGCAGGCATGCTGTGACGCTCACATGTGTGCTCAGGTTCGAGGTTCGAGGTTCGAGGTTCGAACCTCGGCGCAAACTCAAAATGGGTCCACGGGGCCCGACTGTGGCTCAGACGCACCAGTTTCCCGAGCCGCGTCCAGCCGCGGCGACGACGAAGGCCCTCGAGGGCCAAGATGCCTCGATCCTCGAGGTTCGAGGTTCGCATCCCTCGGCGCGAACCTTTCAACGGGTTCCGGCCTGGCCCCTCCACCTCCTTTGCCTTGCTTCTGCACTCCCTCCAGTGCTCGTGCCCTCCACCTCCTCTCACCTCCTGGGGGGAGGGGGGAGCGAGGCAGAGGGAGGAGGAGGAGGAGGAGGAGGAGGAGGAGGAGGAGGACGAGGAGGACGAGGAGGGTTGGAACAGGATCGGAGGAGGCGGTGATGGGGGATCGGAGGAGGGGCATGAGGAGGAGGAGGGGGCAGAAGAGGAGGAGGAGGAGGAGGAGGAGGCTGGAGGCTGGAGGATCGGAGGGGGATCGGAGGAGGACGAGGAGAAGGGGGACCGTTGTCATTATCCTGCGGGCTGCAGCCGGAGTCCCGACGCCCGCCTGCCAGCACGACGTTTCCCCGAACAGTGCGCGCACCAGGAGTTCCGTTGAAACGCAGCGCCACAAAGTGGCCCCGCCTTTGGCGCAACCTGTGGCGCAACCATCGACGCAACCTATGGCACGCCCTGAGGGCGCAACCTAAGGCGCAACGTATGGCGCGATTTGTGGGGCGCCCTGGGTGCGCAACCTATGGCGCAAGCTATGGCACGCCCTGGGGGCGCATCCTATGGCGCAGCTTACGGCTCAACCTATGGCGCAGGTAATTGTACGCAAGCACAACGTGTGGTGCAACGCATCGGGCAAGCCATGGCGCAACCAGCCGGTGCACTCTCACAATATCGCTATGACTACTACAACTGTCCTCCCTCCATTCTCCTTGTGCTGGTGCAAGGGGCTGGACTAGGCGAGACCTGCACGCGGATGTGGCCGCATGTCTTTCCAGCGCTCGGCCCTCCTACCTCGCGCGGCTGGTCACGCCAGCCCCCCGCATGTGTATCCAGCAAGTGGGCCCCAAGCGCTGCTGAAGCTTTCGGCAACTGGCTGCGGACACGGCGGCGGCGGCGACGGCGACGGCGGCATCGGCGGCGACGACGACGGCGGTGACGGCGGCGGCGGTCACCTTCACCGCCGCCGCCGCCGCTTGCCGCCGTCGGCGTCGTCGCCGTCGCCGCCGCCGTCGTCGTCGTCGTCGTGGTCGCCGTCGCCGCCGCCCGTGTCGCCGCCGCCGCCGCCGTCACCCCCCCGGTCGCCGTCGCAACTGACGGCGACGACGACGCACCCGCGTGCACGCTCCAGCCGTCGACCCATGTCTCAAGGGCCTTGTGCCTGTGTAGGGAGCTCCTGCTTCCTGTATTCCCTAGGCTGCCGCCGCCCCGCGCGCCCCCACGGCGCGTGGTTTACACTCCGCGCAAAAAAACCGTACACAAGCTTTGTGGTGCACACGTGCCATGTGGTATACACAGGCGCCACGGTTCACACTCCCATGATGTACACAGTCGCAATGGAGTACACAGGCGCTGTGGGCTCAACAGGTCCGAGCGCTTTTTGATACAGAAAAACTAAGATCCACAAAACAGCTCACATAATGAAAGGGCCACGGTTGGGCCCCGAGCGATCTTCTGGACTTTCGCTCCGCTGGTACCTTACATGTGTACACAAGCTTTGTGGTGTACGCTGGCATTCTGGTGCAAACACGGGGCGTTGAAACAGCAGCTGTGGTGCACGCGGGCGCCGTGGTGTGCACCAACAGTGAGATGTACAAGGCCGCTGCGGTGCACACGCCTGTCATGATGTGCTCAGTCGCCGTGGTGCACACACATACCATTTCTGCCGCAGTTGTGGTGTACAAAGGCATCGCGGTGTACAGAGCCTGTGTAGTGTGCACAGGCACGGTCGGCTTCGACGACGACGACAGCGGCGACGACGACGACGACGACGACGACGAAGCGTACCGTGCCGACAGTTGTGCTGGTAATAAGTACCAGGGCCCGTGCGAGGGCCCCGCCGCGCGTTACCGTTACCCCCAACTTGGGGCCGGACCCCCCCCCTCCCCCCCAACGTAACGGGCGTTACCCCCCCCCAAAAAAAACAAGCTTTAACAAAAACCCAACTTTGGCCTCCAAGGGTCTCGCGTCCTCACCGCCCGTCCTTCATACACGTTTTCCCTGTCTTTTGCACCCGTTTCGGGGGGCCTCTCGGCCCGCCTCCTCCTCCTCCTCCTCCTCCTCCTCCTCCCCCTCCTCCTCCTCCCCCTCGTCCTCCTCCTCCCCTTCCTCCTCCTCCCCCTCCTCCTCCCCTTCTTGGCGGCCTATTTGGGCCTCCGGGGCCCCTGGGGGCCGGGCCCCGATCGTCGGAGGCCCGAGGCTGCGAACACGCGCGGGTCGTTGGCTCGCAGGCGGCGGATCGGCGCGGCAGTCTCCTGATGCTCCAGCCTGCTTTTTTGGCCCTGGCCACCAGGAGGGATTTCGAGCGCCCCCCAGAAAAGTACCGAAACTCAAGGGTTTTCGCGCGTCGGGCCCCGGGGGACGCTCGCCCGACACTGTTTCGGCACCGTTTCGGCACTCCTTTGACATGTCTCCGGGTGCTCGAAACTATTTTTGGGATATGGTCCTTGAGTACGACGGGGGCAACATACTTGTATTCTACTCGGGGCCCTCCTGGACGCCACTCTCTCGCGAGCCTCCTGGGACGTCTTGCCATCCGTCGCCGGGCCATCCGCCGCATGGGGCCGTGTGGAGCCAGGAGGAGGAAGAGGAGGAATTGATAGAAATAATAAAAATGATACGTAGCACCCCGCAAATGCGGATAAGAGTGAGGGGGCGGTGGGGACGTCGGCAGTGTGCGAGTCTCTGGGGAAGCCCGTCTCAGGAGCAACAGTATCACAAATTATGCAACGAGCCCACCGCAGGCGCCGATTTTCACGTTTAGCCAATGTGGGTAGGTCGCGGGTGGGTCGCTGGTGGGTCGCAAATGGGTCGCAGGTGGGTCGCGGGTGGGTCGCGAGTGGGTTGTTGTTGGGTCGCGGGTTGGTCGCGGGTGGGTCGCAGGTGGGTCGCGAGTGGGTCGCGGATGAGTCGCGGATGGGTCGCTGGTGGGTCGCGGGTGGGTCGCGGGGTGGGTCGCGGGGTGGGTCGCGGGTTGGGTCGCAGGTGGGTCGCGAGATGGGTCGCGGGGTGGGTCGCGGGGTGGGTCGCGGGGTGGTTCGCGGGATGGGTCGCGGGGTGGGTCGCGGGTGGGTCGCGGGTGGGACAGACAACAACAACAAGCAGAATTTTCACCACGGATCTTCACTTCAGCCACGCACCCAGGGACAATGAATGACCGTTCGGCCCCTTCATTCTGACAAGTAGCAAGAATCATTATCCGTAAGGGCTTCGCCCCCTGCCGCCGGCCCCCTCTCTCGGAGAATGGGTTATGGAAGAGCGAAGTCATGAGGCGTTGGCTTCGCCGTGAAGCAGTGTTGGGACCTGTTTGTTTTTCGACCCTGACCCTACGGATCTGCGTGAGGGGTGCCGCCGAGTTTCAGAAATGTGCAAATCCCCTGCGCTTTTGGACCCTGACCCTGCGGATCTGCGTGAAGGGTGCCGCCGGATTTCAGAAATGTGGCAATTCCCTTGTGTTTTTGGACCCTGACCTTGCCGATCTGCGTGAGGGGTGCCGCCGAATTTCAGAGATGTGGCAGATCCCTTTGTTTTTGGACCCTGACCCCGCCGATGGCAAATCCCATGTGTTTTTGGACTCTGACCCCGCCGATCTGCGTGAGGGGTGCCACCGAATTTTAGACATGTTGCGAATCCCTTTTGTTTTTGGACCCTGACCCCGCCGATCTGCGTGAGGGGTGCCACCTGATTTCAGAAATGTGGCAAATCCCATGTGTGTCTTGGACCCTGACCCCGCCGATCTGCGTGAGGGGTGCCGCCAGATTTCAGAAACATGACAAATCCCATGTGTTTTTGGTCTCTGACCCCGCCGATCTGCGTGAGAGGTGCCACCGAATTTCAGAAATGTTGCAAATCCTATATGTTTTTGGACCCTGACCCCGCCGATCTGCGTGAGAGGTGCCACCGAATTTTAGAAATGCGGCAAATCCCATGTGTTTCTGTACCCTGACCCTGCCGATCTGCGTGAGGGGTGTCAATTTCCCAGCAATTCAGACAATACGATTTGGGGGTGGTAGAAATGTCCGTTTTGGGCCTCCCCCCCTCGCGCGGTCCATCAACAAGCAACACTAAGCAGCAAGAAGCAGAACTGTAGGAAGGAACAGTAAGCAGCAAGAAGCAGAACTGTAACAGTGGAAACTGGAAGCTGCAACTGGTACAGAAAACTGCGAACCTCCGGCCTACAGCCTGGTGGCCCCACAAGGGAGCCGGCGCAAAATATTCATAATACGATTAATAGCCATACGAATACCAGTAATACTCATATCAATGATAACAAGAAGAAGAAGGATAACAACAACATGAGGAAGAGGAGGAATAAGAGGAGGTGGATGAGGATGAGGAGGAGGAGGAGGAAGAGGAGCAAAAGGAGATGGCGAAGGAGGAGGGGAAAACAGGATGAGACGGAGGAGGAGGAGGAGGAGGAGGAGGAGGAGGAGGAAGAGCGAGAGGAGGAGGAGGAGTGGGAGAAAAAGGAACAGGAGCAAGAGAAGCATCAAGGATCGACGATCGTGGAGGCCCTTTTCGAGCTGGCCATTCCGTAGCCATTTGAGCTCAAGCGTCATTTGCGGCATATTTCCCATTCGTTTACAGTCATGCAAACATGTTGGTTTGTGTACACTCTACGTGGTGCTTTGTTGGGCCTGCTTTCTAAAAAGGCGGGCGAACCTTACCAGGGGCTCGCATGTGCAGCGCGAGGTTCATCATCCTTTCATCTTCATGCAAGTCTAGACCATGCGCACACTCGGGTCTGCCACATCTCTCAGGCAAGCATTGGCCTATTTTTGGGTGAGGCGCAGGCCGGGGTGAACGGCCAGGGGAAGTGGCGCGCAACGCTTCGGCGCTAAAGAAGCACCCCTGTCTCCACCACGTGCTCCGCTTCGACGTCAGGTCGTGTAGCGGAGGGCAGCAGTCACAACATCGGTCTTGGCCTGGGCGGCGCCTCCGAGGGGCAGCCCCCGGGCGACCAGGAAGCCCAAGCTCGGCGTCAGCAGTGCGAAGGAGGAGGTTGAAACGTGCTCGCGACCAGTCCATTCAGACAGTGGACAACACAGACCATGCATCCGAAGCCATGTTGGAGAGGCTACACGGCATTCAGACCATGGTGATAGACTTTCGGGCGGGCGTCTTGTCTTTCGGGTGCGTGGCCAAACTGCCAGTCTCGCAGCAGGGGCAAGCGGGATGTGACGCATTTCCCTTGTCAAGAGGCTCCAGTGGCGCCGACGCCGCAGGTTCAAGCGGCTGAGTCCTGAAAGCCCAACGCGGATACGGACAAGCGTTATTTCTTCATTGCAGGCTAAATCAGGATTCGGCCACGGTCATGGAGTAGGGGGAATCAAAGAAGCACGTGGGCCTTCTCAGAGTGGCCGAAACCAACACAATCGGATATGTGAAGTCAGAACAGCGTGCCGGGATTTCACACAAGTTGCTTCTGAGTTGTAATTTCATTTCTGTAGCAGTACAATCGTGTTGGGACCCCGATTTCAATGAGGGCCTCAGCAGCCTCAGTTCTTTCGAGAACGATGTCCAGAGCAAGGTCTCGACCGTGATGGTGTATGATTGCCCCGGCCCCGTCGACAATTCAAAGTTGGGTCCCGCGGCCATCAAGTACGACGTGTTTGATCGCAGTGAGGCCTACGTACGCCGAGTCGTGGGCGTTGCTTCCTTGGTATGTCGATCGGTCATCAGCTTTCTGGCCACCCCAGAGGACGAACGCGTGTTCGCGGATGTCCCGAACCGCGTCAACGCCACCATCGTCGAAGGCAGCGGATGACGAGGTGGCATTCCCAGTGGCTGTTGCAGCTAAGGTTTGGGATGGCTGAAAGGGCAGCAATTGCAAGCCGTGAGAGGCAGCAGCCAGCCAGGACCAACTCCGCGCAGCCCCGTCCTCCAGTGCTCCTTTTTCTCGGGGGGGCGGGGGAGTTGGAGGATACAGTCGGGGCCCTGAAGAAGGAACCTTTTTGGTTGGGGAGGGGCTCCGCGTTCCTTAAGTGTTTCACAGCTTGCCTCAGGTTTCCTTATGTTTTCGATGGGAATTCGAAGTTTAACTTATGGATAAAAGGGGCTTCGTTCCTTATTTAGGGTTCCTTAGGTCAACGCCTCGACTGTAGGGATCGGAGGAGAAGGGAGGATCCCCCCTGTCCCTTCCCCTCCTCCTGCGCCCCTACACAGCGCGGTTTGCATCAGGTCAAAAATCTGCAGCGCGCGGTCGGCTGCACGTGGCCTCCGAAAGGAGAGGGCGCGGTGGCGAACGCCCTAGCGATGACTGGCGATTGAAGGGGCTTTCTGTTGGCAAGCTGGTGAAGCACGGAGCCCGAGATGCTAGTTCCACGCTCTTCAGGGCGCGCCGTGAGGATACTCGCGATGCGAAGATCATCAACGCGATTCGTTGGCTCGGGCACTCCCTCCCTTCCCTTCCGTGCCAAGCCCGCGTGGCGCAGGAACGCAGGAACCCAGGAGCCGGGTTGGGCGCGCTTCCTTTTTTTTTGTTGTTCTCTCTCTCTCTCTCTCCTTTTTCTCCCCGTCTCCCCCGTTGCAGCTCGACCGCGCGTTGCCTTGTGCATCCTGCCCGCTCTCTTCTGACCTGCTGCGGGCCTGCGTGCGCGAGTTGGCCCGCCCCCCTCTGGGCCCCGAGGCCGTGGCCGCCAGGGCGCGGCGCCAGCAGCTGCCCGCCGCGGGCGGCGGCGCCGGGCCGGGCAGCGCCCTCGGAGCGGCTGCCGAGCTGCGAGCGCCGCCGGGCCGTCGCCTCGCCACGATCGCGGTTAAGCAGCAGAAGCGGCGCAAACGACCCGCAGGCGAGGGAAAGGTACCGATACATCTATATATATATACACACACATACATAAAGATATGTTTAGAGAGAGAGAGAGAGTGAGTCATACATACAGATATGCACATATACATACATCCTTCGTTTCCCCTTCTAAGGGTTTTTTACCACCGTTGGATTCGATTCGACATTCTGGTCAGAGCGCACCCCGGGAGAGGTCGGTACCTTCTGGTTTCCCCGGACCCCTAGCAAACCATCCCTTCCGTCACGTCCCCCCGCGCCTCGCCCCGAGACGTATGTGAGCGGCCAGAAGAAGGCTCGAAAAGGCAAGGGTGACGCTACGGAAGGGGATGGTTTGCCAGGGGTCGGTGAGGCCGCACCCGATAATTAAGCCGGGGGTAGCTTATCATACAGTGAATCTTGATGGTAAGGATGCGCGGTAAGGATGCAAAGGGCATTGGACAGCCATGCCGAAGTGTTTTCGAGTGTTTTCGAAATGGGTTGGCCGTCGCAAGTGGTTGAGGATGGACCGAAGATTGCCTATGAGGCAAAGACGGAAGGGTACCTCGGGGAAGTCGATCACCTTGACTATCAGTCTCGACTGTCTCCCAATCCCCGTTTGGAGCCGGTTGGGGGTTTTGAGGTGGCCCAGCATTGGTTCCGGCCAGCAGTAAGGGCGGGCAGTTTCGAGGTTCTGGGCTTGAGAAGGTTTTTGCCGTTGTTTCTGTTTCCAGGGGCCGTTGGGGGGGCCCAGAACCGTCAAAACGGCGCCAGGGTGAAAAACCCCACCAGATGGACGGGGGTCCGGGGACAGATTTTGAACGGATTTGGCCTCATCTCCACTCCTGGCCGATTTTTGGGGGCCCCATCCAGTTCTGACCCCCCAAAGACTTCCAAATCCCATCCAGGCCATGGTATCTCAGCCTCACCATCCCGCCCCACCAGTTGGGGACAGGCCCGTTGAAGCCCGAAGGGAACAACCTCTATCCTCATCTAAGGGTAACTCGCCGCAGAGACTCTTCAATGATGGGTCCTCCCCCCCTTCGCTCTCGGCTGGTAATAGTCGTCCCTCCCCTCCTCGCCCCTCCCCTCCTCGCCCTCCTCCTCGCTGTCCCTCCTCGCGTTCCTCCTCGTGCTCCCCCCCTCGCCCTCCCTCCCGTCTTCCCCCCCTCGTCCGTCCCCTCCTCGACTTCCTCCGCGCCCCCCCCCCCCTCTCCCTCCTCCTCGAGCTTACATCGGCCAGCGTGCCCAAGGACATGCCAGATGGGACAGGGGTCGGCTCAATGATGCTCAGGGAAGCGGGTCGTGGGGCGTTTCGGTCTCGTGTTCCATCGGGGCCCTCCGTGGGTGCGGCAGCGCCCTTGCTGGGCGGCTGTCAGCTGCGAGCGCCGCCGCGTCGCCGTCTCGACGCGGATGGGGGTCGTGGGGCGCTTTCGTCGGCTCCTGGTGGACTTGCAGCCGCGGGAGGCGGTCCAGCCGCTGCGCCTCGCCGAGAGCGCTGCCGGGGCCCGCGGGCCCAGCCAGCCGACGCATGTGGCTTCCCGGTCGCAGCGCTTGCTCTGGAACGTTCGGCTTCCAGAGCCCTCCAAAAGTGGGCGCGAGACGGGCAGCTGTCCTCGGAGAAGGAATCGGGATTGCTCGGGCCACGGATTGAGAAGCACGACGCACCGTGGCAGATATACGGGAAAGCGCTTGCGGCGCGCCTCGCTCGCGGCGGAGCCCAGGGGAAGCCAAAACGGCGGATGGTCCGCCGGCTGAAGGCGGCGGAAATAAAAGGGGGCGTTCGTATTTGAGGATTCAGGGTTTTCTGAGCTGGTTATCTAGAGAAGCGAAACTGGGGTGGAACAAATGGAGACAGACACTGCCCCAGGTCTTGCTCACGTTGGTCAGGAGTTGTTGTCGGTGTCATCCGCAGACATTGGGACGAGCATCGCCTGCCCAATAGCAGCCGCTGACAAGTCCGTGACAGCCGTTGCTGTTTGGCGTCCCCACTGCTTCTGTCTCCAGGTTGCAGACACCGTTCGAGCGACGGAACAAAATAGTGTCGCCTTCACCGGCACTGGCGCGCCAGTTGCCCGCGTAAGGTCGCGCGTAAATTCCTTCGCTTCAAGTGTGGCGTGCCGCGCTGGCGGCCCGCGTAAACCACCGAGCAAGATCGCTGTGTCATCTCGCGCACGTCAGGAGGTAAACAAATCCCACTGACACGAAAAAAGCGCAGATGCCCAGAAAACAAAAGAAAACTACGAGAGGGGAAACGAACATCCAGAAGATATGGAACCTATGATCTGAACAAGTTGCTGTTCAGACTCTGGGGCGCCCCCAGACTCTGGGGGTTGGGGGTTGCTCCGACTTTGTCTCTCGTTGTCCGACTGTGTCTCCTCGCTCCTACCCCCTGCCTCCGCCTGGTCATCCTCCATGTTTCTCTTCTTACTCCCTCTTCGCCTGCTTTTCCCCTAGTCCTTTTCTTCCTCTTCCTCCTTCTCCTCCTCCTCAACCTCCTCCTCCTCCTCTAGCTCCTCCTCCTCCTCCTCCTCCTCCTCCTCCTCCTCCTCCTCCTCCTCCTCCTCCTCCTCCTCCTCCTCCTCCTCCCCCTCCTCCCTCCTCTCCTCCTCCTCCTCCTCCTCCTCCTCCTCCTCCTCCTCCTCCTCCTCTCCTCCTCCTCCCCAAGAGGCCTCTAAGACGCCAAGATGGCCTCCAAGACGGTCCTGAAGCGCCTCAAGAGGACCCCACATCGGTTCAGAGAGGCCCCCAAGACGGCTTCCGACGGCGTCAGACCCGTCAGACGGGCCAGGAACGCTTTAAGACAGCCAAGGAGAGGCCCCCAAAACGCCCCCCAGGCCCCCAAGGCCCCCAAGAGGCCCGAGGAGGCCCCCAAGAGGCTTCCAAGAGGCCCCCGGGAAGCCCCCAGGAGGCCCCACAAGAGTGCCCCAAGAGGCTCCCAAGAGGCCTCCTCCTCCTCCTCCTTCTCCTCCTCCTCCTCCTCCTCCTCCTCCTCCTCCTCCTCCTCCCTCTCCTGATCCTCCCCCTCAGCCTCCCCCAAATGTTCCCCGAAGAGTTTCCGGAGCGGCTGGGGGAATACATAATCAGATAGCTTGGCCAAGTTGGGGCCCAACGTTTGGCCACATAGGCGCTTCTCAAAAAGGCTGGGGGCGGCGGTGATTCGCCGTAGGCGTCTTGGATCCGCCGCCCCCTGTGCTTGCCACAGGGGTGGACGGCGTGCCAGACATTTTGCTGCTCTTGTTATTTTCAAACCCTTCCCAGTGGCCTTCGGCCCAGACCGCCTGCCCCTCGGAAGGACCAGAAGGTGTGGCCCACATCGCCACCAAGACGGCCCAAATGGCCCAAGATGGCCACCAAGATGCCTCCAAGGCGGCTAGGATTGCTCCAAGAGAGCCCAAGACGGCCCCAATGTGTCTCCAAGACGGCCCAAGATGCACCCGAGGCGTTCCAAGATGGCCCCAAGATGGCCCAGGACGGCCCCAAAGGCCCCCAAGAGGCTTTTAATGCAGTCCAAGAAGCCTCCAAGGGGACCTGCAGGAAGGCCCGAAGAGGCAAAGACAGCTGATTTCCCGTGGGCTCTTGACGGATTTTGAGACCCTCAAGATGGCCCCAAGAGCGCCCAAGAGGCCTCCAAGACGGCCCCATGACGGCCTCCAGACGGTCCAAGAGGCCCCCAAGGCGCCTCCAAGACGGCCCACGAGAACTCCAAGGCGCCCACTCGTCATCGTGGTCGTCGTCGTCGTCGTCGTCGTCGTCGTCGTCGTCGTCGTCGTCGTCGTCGTCGTCATCGTCAAACCTCTTCCAGTTTCCTAATCAAACCCCTCTCCTTCTCCCTCCCCCTCCCCCCCCCCCCCCCCCCTCCCCCCCCCCCCCTCCACCACCCCCCTCCGCCCCCCCTCCACCTCCCCCTCCACTCCCCGTCCAACTCCCCCTCCACCCCTCCACCTCCCCCTCCTCCTCGGATGTCCCTTGGAACCTTTTTGGGAGCACCCAGGGGGCTCCAGAGGGCCCCAAGATGGCTCCAAGACGCGCCCGAGAGGCCACTGAGAGGTCTCATCCAGACGCGCTGTTCGATGACACCTACTACCGGTTTCTGAGGCCTCTCTTGGGCCCCTTTTGGGCCCGTTTTGGGGCCTTCTTAGGGCCCTCTTGGAGCCATCATATGGGCCCGCAAGGGGCCCAAGAGGGCTCCAAGAGGGCCCCAAGAGGGTTCAGGAGTTATGTACCAGCAGCCGTTGGGTTGGTACATAATTCCTGGGGCCCTCTTGGAGCCCTCTTAGGGCCAACCAGGGGCCCAAGAGGGCTCCAAGAGGGCCCTCTTAGGGCTAACCAGGGGCCCAAGAGGGCCCCAAGAGGGCCCCAGGAGTTATGTACCAGCGGCCACTGGGTTGGTACATAATTCCTGGGGCCTTGGGGCCCTCTCAGGGCCAACCAGGGGCCCAAGATGGCTCCAAGAGGGCCCTCAGAGGGCCCCAAGAGGGCCCCAGGAGTTATGTACTAGCGGCCGCTGGGTTGGTACATAATTCCCGGGGCCTTCTTGGGGCCCTCTTGAAGCCCTCTTGGGGCCCTCTTTGGGCCCTTTTAGGGCCCCCTTTGGAGCCATCTTTTGGGCAGGATTCCAAGAGGGCCCTAAGAGGGCCCCAAGAGGGGGGCCAGGCCAGAGTCCCACGGAGACCACCGGGTACCTCCGATGTCCCACGGGGGACACCGGGTAACTCTGATGTCCCACGGGCCGATGTCCCACGGGGACTACAGGGTAACTGCGATGTCCCACGGGGGACACCGGGTAACTCCGATGTCCCACGGGCCGATGTCTCACGGGCCACCAGGTTCCCACGGGGGACACCAGGTAACTCCGATGTCCCACGGGCCGATGTCCCACGGGGACTACAGGGTAACTCCGATGTCCCACGGGGGACACCGGGT